ATGAACCCAATTCAAGATGTTGAAGTGTTCGATGTCTGGGGGATTGACTTAATGGGCCCCTTCGTCAGCTCCTTTGGCAATAAGTACATACTTGTTGCTGTGGACTATGTGTCCAAATGGGTGGAAGCTGCAGCACTTCCCACCAATGAAGCAAGAGTGGTGGTGGGATTTTTGAAGAAGAATATATTCATCCGTTTTGGGACCCCGAGAGCTATTATCAATGATGGAGGCACTCACTTCTGCAATCGAGCCTTCGAGAAGTTGCTAGCAAAGTACGATGTGCGCCACAAGGTGGCAACACCATATCATCCTCAGACCAGTGGACAGGTCGAAGTGTCTAATAGAGAAATAAAGAGTATATTGACCAAGACTGTAAATGCCACAAGAACTAATTGGGCGAAAAAGCTAGATGATGCACTCTGGGCCTACAAAACTGCTTTTAAAACACCAATTGGTATGTCACCATATAAGTTAGTATTAGGGAAGGCTGCCACTTGCCAGTGGAGCTTGAACATAGAGCTTGGTGGGCAATGAAACAGCTGAATCTAGACATTGAGGCTGCGGGCACAACGAGAATCACAGACTTGCATGAGCTCGACGAGTTTCGATATCTTGCTTTTGAGAGCACAAGGTTGTACAAGGAAAGAATGAAGAGGTTGCACGACAAGAACATTGTGGAGCGGAATTTCAACCCCGGGGACATGGTATTGCTCTATAACTCAAGATTAAGGCTATTTCTGGGTAAGCTCAAGTCACGATGGTCTGGAGCGGTCTAATTTACTTCATGGTATTGGTGTTAAAATCACCAATTAGAATTTGGAGTGTTGATGATAGGCTATAATTACGTATTTTAGTCGATTATTACACTCTAATTTACTTCCCTTTAGTTGAGTTTGCGCTTTAATCGCTAGTGTTTTGCACTAACGGTGTATTTTATGCCTTGTAGGAGTGATTCCGAGCTATATAGATGTTATGGAATGAATTCACGTGATTTGGAGCTTTGAAGTCTGAGTAAAAGCCCAAGGAATTAAGCCGGGATCGTATTCGGGGATCAATGGATGATAGAGCAACAAAATAAAGAATCAAGTAGGCATATTGCGCAGTGTCTAGTAAAATACACATAGCTTTTCACTCAGAACTCCATTTGGGCTCCAAAATATATAGTTGAAAAGCTAACTCAAAGGGATACAACTTTCATGTTTTACGTTTTTCCAAATTCCAAACGGAGCAGGGTGAAAAATGCGGTCGAAACCGCGACCGCGGACCTGACGCAGACTGAAACAGTAGACTTGCAAAGTACCGCGCCCGTACCGCGGCCGCGGACGTCCAGGCCTGGAAACTTGTCCTTTTTCGCGTAGGAGAAGGTATAATTGTTTGGGCCCGACCCTACTTGATATATATACATGGAAAAACGTTATTTTGAGAGGTTGGACATATTTTTGACACAGATTCGACCTAAGGAGGCAGAGACACTATAGGAGCAAGGCGGAGAATTCTTCAACGAGTTTTTCCTTCCTCTTCCTATTTTTCGTTGTTGGTTATGACTTTTAGTATTGTAGTTTGACATACTATTATGACTAACTAATTTGTTATCTAGGATTTTGATAGAACCTTTTGTAGGATAAATTCTTGTTATGTTTTTATATAATTGAGCCGTTGGATTTCTCTACTTGTTCAACCACGTGTTTATTGTTGTTGATTGAATGACCATCGATTGACTGTGCCTATTTATTATGTGTTGCTTGAGAAAGGATACATATTTAGGTGGTTATTGAACAACGTCACTCCTAACGTATGTGAGAAATCAATACAACGGGTTTAAAGGTAGATTTAGAAATAACAAAGCCTTGACGTGGTCATAATGAGCGGTTAGATAAAGCCAACTAGTGTAGTTCAAAAGAATGTGTCTAGTAAATTGTTGTAGTTGCTCGAGAGAGAATTACGGCATTTAAAGTGCTCACAGTCAGTAGAGAATACATTGGCAAAATTGTAGGGAACATAGCTAGAAGGATTCCAACAATTGGGGAAATCATAACTCTACAACTCCTTAATTTAGTCTCCAACCCTTTGTCTCGTTAGTTGATAATTTTACCGCTTTGTAGTATTTGCTAGTTAATTAGTTAGAAATATAAATCTCAATCTTTATAATTTAGAAAATTGTTCAATCTTGTCTTCTTAGTGATATTAAACAGATACAACTAAGCCTTAGTTCTCTGTGGGATTCGACTCCAGACTTTTAGACCGGATTATATTTACAGCGACCGCTTATCCTTTTTAGGACTAGAGTTGGGCGTGATCAGTTGGCAAGATTATTTCCTCTGGACATGTAACTCAACAACAGTAGAGAGCATCACTCTCTCATCTCTTCTTGCACAACGAATCCTATTTGACAGTTACTGTAGTTAAAGTGTATCAAAGGGCAGCTCGGTGCACAAAGCTCTCGCTATGTGCAGGATTCAGAGAAAGGCCGGACCAATATCAAAGACCGTATATTAGATAATCAGCACTGTATGTATGCTATTTATTCCAGAACAATAAAGAAACACACATTCCACATGTATCTAATGGAACTTATCCCGAAAAATTTAGCCTAACTACTTGTGTCATATGATCAGCTTCAGAAAGTTCATCTGCCCAATAAGACAAGTACATAATCAGTGTATAATTCGTAAACGTACTTCAAGAGATATTCCATATGCAGAGTTCCAGGTTCACAGACCACAAAAACTTTTAATTTGTCCCTGCAATTAGAATGATCAATTCTTTAACTGGTTAGATATTATTTAACCATCGATCAAAAGAAAAAGAAAGAAAACTGAATATCGTCAAGGCAAGTTAAATGTTGTATGAAACTCTCAACTCAATAAATCTACCTAAGATGTTTGTCATCCACCAATTCCCTTGCACTATCACTTTAATGTGCTTTTTTTAATCACTATTTACCAATTCTGTTTCCATATACTAAAATGTTTCACTTTATTTATCAACGTAGCACTATCCAAATTAACTTCTAGAAAGTTAATGTATAAGCAGATAAATCCAAGAAGAATGTTGTCATCTATTGAAGATCCACCAAATCTTACATTTTTGTATGTGTGTGTGTGTTTTTCTTTGAGAGCTTTTTGAGGTGAAAATTATAAGTTATACTGTATGTTATAACAAGCGCCACATTCGTTACTTCTCTTTTATATGGCACGGTCCTTACTTCCCTTCTTTCTTTCTTGGGAAAATGGTCATATATACCCCTTTACTTTCGGATATTGTCTACATTTAACCTCTTTTATACTATCCAGTCAAATTTATCCCTATCGTTACACTATCCGGCCAAATTTATCTCTACCATCAGAAAACTTTTAAAAATTACCCCTCAGTCCGTTAGGTGACCCAGAATCTCATCAAATCATTTTAAATAAGTCACTTATTCTTCTTCTTGATCCAGTATTTTTGAAATAATTGGCATTTACACAGTTTTATAATTAGAAAAAAATAAGAGAAAGAAATATTAAAATAATACAACGGTTAGTAAACAAAGTATAGTAAATTGAAGAATCTAAAACAGGTAGCTTGTCTAAATTCCAAAAGTATTTACAATATCCCAACTTTAATGAATTCATTGCACCAACGGTATGGAGACTTTGCAAGTATTCGTGATAGAAGTTGAAGTTCCTTGGAGACTTTACATTATCGAATTCAACTTTGCGTTAATCAAATGCCTACGCATTATCCACTCTTAAGTTAGTCGATCGAACTCTATACTAACAGACAGTAACAAAATATATTCGAATATACATGTACATACATGATGATCATCTGCATATAATACACAACCACTAAATTCTACTCTGTGTATATTGTTGAAAAATAAATAAAATTTTAAACTAATTTCAAACTCATTATCACAACTCACAAGAAAAGAAGTGGGGCATTGGTAATTAAAAATATCCATAAATAATATGTAGAGTCTAGTACCTTTAGCATTCACATAAATAGTAATTTCTTAAAATAGTGAATCAAGAAGAAGAATAAGTGACTTAATTATAATGATTTGGGAGATTCTGGGTAACTTGACGGACCGAGGGGTAATTTTTAAAAGTTTGCTGATGGTAGGGGTAAATTTGACTAGATGGTATAACGGTAGGGATAAATTTGGCCGGATAGTATAATGAAGGTTAAATATAGACAATATCCGAAAATAGAGGAGTATATTTGGCCTTTTCCCCTTCTTTCTTCCCTTTTTTGATATGAAGGAATAATTATAAGACCACAGATTCAAGAGCTCTGTGTGCATAAGTCATTTATTAAACAAAGAGGCAGTATGCCTATAATCAATTCTTCCTGAGCCTAAAGTTATTACTAATATCTATTGAGTCATGGAGATTATTTCTAGTGTATTTTCATGACTTCTTTGAGAGAATAAGAGATGTAGTTGCACAGATTATACCATTGTTTGAGTGTCTTCAATTTCCATAATAGAGTGCAAGCTTGCTCAAGAGTCAATTTGATTGCACTAGCTAGTACGTGTTGCTTAGCTTTAGAGCTAAAGAAACTTAGTAAGTATGACACAGCGATATCAAGAAGAACCAAGCTTTCTGCATCAAGTTGACAGGATTTAGGTTCTATTTGTCCATCTTCGTCTAGTCTCCAACGCCATACGTCTAGCTTTTCTGAATATTCAAGTTGGAAGTTTCTTACTGTCACGATTTAAATTGGAAAAAAAAAAAAAAAATACAAACAAAAAATGGGATGCATATGCTGCTGCTTAAAGATTTTCGACTGTATTTCCTGACATAGAAGTCCATATTGGCAGGCAATTATTTTTCTTCAGAGGTTGAACCATAAAGTACTTCTTTTACCCTTTTTCAGCTTAGAGGAATTGATTAGCTTTTAACTTTCATGCCACAGAAACCTTTAATTTTTTCAGTTTCTTTAATCCCCCGTAAATCAAGCTTAGAGCGTGCACCCTTATGACTGCATATTTTCCTCACCAAAAGATAAACAAAAAAGCTAAATGGAAGTTCATAAATACAAATTAATAAGTTTCTGAAAAATACATCAAAATAAATATGGTGGGAGGTAAGTAAGAGATTGGAAGCAATTCAGATCGAAAGTATCAGGTTGAAGGCCGGAGCAACGTAACCAGGAATTGGGGACAGCTGCTGAGAGATAGCGTGCATCGAATGCCATACACTTGCCACTCTCAAAGTATCATTTGTGTCCATTCTTCCAGCAGAGCCATATATAGTCCTAATGAGTGCGGACAGGAAGGAACTATATTTGAGTAAATATCCAAAAGAAAATCATAACCACAAATAAGAACAAACCAAATTAAGAAAAGCTAAAGATTTTGAGAATGTGAACTTCACCTTGGATACAAAGAATACCTAGGCAAAGATCACATTAAGGTAGGCAGTCATTGGCCACATGAATCTACCAAAAGTAACCCCTGATGAATGTACTACTCCCTTGGGCAAAACAAGTCAACAAGGGGCCAGTCTTAACCTTATATAGTCACATGTGTAACCAGCAGATATCATATTGGGTTTTTTTCTGGCCTAGGGGCGGAGCTAAGGTAGTGTGTACAGGTTCGGACCAGCTAGCACAGCTGTTTAGATCTTGTATTTGTATTAGGAAATACATTAAATATATATAAATATCTAATTGCAAACCCAATAACTAAAATGAGTTAGGGGCATTGATCGTAATTCCAAACCCATAAACTTCAAACTTTGGCCCCGCCTAATTTCTGCAGCTATGCAAACGGCTCTTAGTTCAAGGGCGTGATAGATTTAAGAATTATGTTTTAATGATGACAATATTCTTCTGTCTACACGGCAAACAATATGGAACAATAATCGACAATGAGAATGGGCAATCAAGAAAAGCTAATTGTTTTATCTTCAACAGGGAAGCATGCTTTGCCAATATGGGCAATCAAGAGAAAGCTAATTATTTTATCTTCAACAGGGAAGCATGCTTTGCCAATATGGGCAATCAAGAGAAAGCTAATTATTTTATCTTCAACATGGAAGCATGCTTTGCCAATAAATATTATCATGTGTTATAGTGGAGACAAAAAGGAAAACCACTTTGTGCTTTCAGAGGAGCTTATTATCTTGTCTTCAATCATGGTAACAGCATACCCCTGAATCCAGCTGTGACAAGGAAGGTCACAAATCGAATCTGGGCTTTTCAAAGAGCAAGATTCGAAGAGGCACCCCTTGGGTCAAGTCCCTTAATCAATGATCATGTGCCTCTAATTCTACTGAAGACTCGACGGCTCTTGTCTCCATCTGAAGAATCAACGGCTCCTTTCTCTGTCCCATAAGAAGGATGATCCTTCAAGAAGAAAAGCACGCAACTACACAAACTGTATTCTAAGTCTTTCTGCTTCTTAGTTCAAACACTGTAACTTTCATTTGTTAGTGTCCAAAAAGATAGGGAGATCTAGAATACAAAAGAGAGTTGTGTCAATTATTCTCAACTTAAGTGTTGCTATTATTTGTTGGTGGTGAATGCGTTAAAACCATCCATTCTGTAATTTTATTTAAAAATCTAAAGGGAACCCTTGTGACCCAAGGAAAACTGGATGTAAGTACCACAACAGTACCGAACCAGTATAAATTGTTCTATGTCATTTACGCTTACTTACTAACTACCTTCATTCTGCTCAGAGGTCAGTCAACTAATAATCGTATTAGTCGACTAATTTTTAATAATCAATAATTCACCCCTCCCCCCCTCTTGTACTTTCAATTGATATCAGAGCAAGGCTCACATCCTGTTGCTTAACCGCTAGTGAGAAAAAGATCATGGGATGCAATACTGTCATCAGAGCTCTCTTTCAAGAAGGAACCTCTCATGTTCGACCTCCTTACTTCAGTGGTCAACATTTTTCTCACTGGAAAGTTCGCATGGAAACATATACCATGTCATATGACATTAAAGTATGGCGTGTGATCAAAAAGGGAAATCTTCCAATTCCTCCCAAGAAGGATGCAAATGGTCAAGTTATTACATCCACTGATCCTCTGAATTTGGACGACTACACTGATGAACAAGCTGTTGTTGTCACTATTAATGCAAAGGCAAAAAATCTACTGTACAATGCTATAAGCGGAGAAGAATATGAAAAAATATCTAGTTGTGAGACTGCAAAAGAAATGTGGGATAAACTGGAAGTCACTTACGAAGGAACCAACAAGGTAAAAGAGACTAGAATAAACCTCTTGGTTCGGGACTACGAACTATTTCAAATGAAGGATGGTGAATCTATAGAAGAAATGTTCACCAGGTTTACAAAATTCTTGGAGATCTCAAATCATATGGAATACCTATCAAAAGTGGTGAATAGGTAAGAAAAATCCTCAGAACCTTGCCTATGGTTTGGCAACCAAAGGTGATTGCTTTGGAATGTCAAAATCTGGATAAAATTTCCTATGATGAACTCAGAGGTGATCTGATTGCCTTTGAAAAACACATCTTGACAGACAAATTCTAGAATAGAAGAAAATTGTTGCTTTCAAAGAAATTTTGACTGAACCAGGTAATGAAGATGAAGAAGACGAAGAAGAACAAGATGAAAATATTGCAATGCTCTCTCAAGTTGTAACCAGCATGATGAGAAGAAATAGATATAAAATAAGAGGCAAGACAAATTTTAGGAAAGGAAGGGAAAGTAATGAAACTGATGGAAGATGTTATGAATGTGGAAAGTCCGGTCATGTTCTAGCTGACTGTCTGGAACTAAAAAGGAAACTGAACAGAAACATGCAGAAGAAAAAAGTTTTTAGAGCACGGAGTGATGAAGAAGAATCTGATCACGAGGAAATTGCTAACATATGTTTCATGGCTCTAAGTGATAATGAAGAGTCAAGGGAACTCGGACTAACGGTAGACAGCAATGATGAAGAAGACGACTCAAGAGAACCTCACTTAACGACAGGTGCAGGAACCAGTGAGGTACGTACTTCTTTATGTCCTAACTGTTATGAACTTCAAGAATTTATTGATATTGCCCTTGAAGATATAGATAGGATATTAAATGAGCTTAGAAAAGTCAAGAGAGAAAAAGAAAAAGAAAAGAAGGATTGGGCCCTGAAACTAGAAGTATGCGAAATAGAACGGGATATACTTCAAGAGGAATTAAATGAACTCGGGCTTCATTTGAATGGATTACAAAGAACCTCTGATCACAGTTCAGTTAAGTCACATCAAATCTTTTATCACAAAAAGAAAATGGCTTGTTCCTTCTGTGGAAAGGATGGTCATAGCACAAATAAATGTATGAACATAATTAGAGCTGAAAATAGTATTAGTAACTCTAGTAGTGTGTCTTGTTTCTAATGTGGTAAAAGAGGTCATACCTGAAATCATTGTAGGTTCAAAAATAACAAAAGATGGGTTTGGAGACCAAAGTCCTCAAATCAAACTGACACTCAGAAGCCTAACCACTCAGGACCCATGCAGGCTTGGGTACCTAAAAATGAGTAAATTTGTTTTGCAGGAACACCGCAAGAAGAATCGGAAAGGAAAATGGTATCTTGACAGCGCGTGTTCCAGAAATATGACGGGTGACAAACAATTATTCAAAAGTCACCAGAATAGATGGAGAAATAGTCACATTTGGTGACAAGTCCAAAGGAAATGTCATTGGTATAGGAAAAGTTCCTTTAAGACCAATATGTGTCTTAGATGAAGTCTACTTGGTTGATGAACTTGGCTATAATCTTCTCAGCATCAGTCAACTGTGCGACAATGATTGTGAGGTTCGTTTTAAGAAACACGGCTGGTTTATAGAAGATGAATCAGGTAATATCATTCTTTCGGGAAATAGGGACAGAAATGTCTATACTATCAAAAACTTAGAAACTTCTGGGGATCAAATTTGCCTCTCCTCTATGATTGAAGATCCCTGGGTTTGGCATAGAAAACTTGGCCATGCAAGCATGCATACCATTAAAAAACTTGCTGAGCATGATCTTGTTATTGGTTTCCCAAAACTAGATTTTTCAAAAGATCATATCTGTGATGCTTGTCAACTAGGAAAACAAACTCAATCCTCTTTCAAAATCAAAAACATTATTTCTACCTCTAAACCTCTTCAACTGCTGCATATGGACTTATTTGGTCCCACTAGAACTGCTAATATAGGAGGTAAGAAATAGATGCCTTTGTTATTGTAGATGATTTCTCTAGATTTACATGGGTTATGTTTCTCAGTCATAAAGATGATGCTCTAAAGAATCTTGAAGTTTTCTGTAAGAAGGTTCAACGAGAGAAAGGCTATTACATCTCCACCATCGGCGAACTCATTCTGGATTCTGGGAACATGCTAGAATTCCGTCTTTATGAACCTCTTTCTCAACTCCTGTACGTGATGCAGATACATGAGTATCTTGGAGTTCTTGGTTGCCCATTCTTCTCGTACCTGATGTATGAGTAAGTCTGAATCTCTGATCACTAGCAGCTCTTGAACGTTCATGTCAATGGCCATTTTGAGTCCTAAGATGCAAGCTTCGTACTCGGCCATATTGTTGGTGCAGAGGAACCTGAGTTTGGCAGACACTGGATAATGCTGATGTCACGACCCTAAACCCGAACCCGGCCGTGATGGCGCTTCTCGTGAAGACAAGGCCAGCCAGACCAATACACTACACCGTTTAACACAATTAATGATCATGAAACAGTTTAAAGTATGATTAAATAGTAATAAATTTACGGAAACATAGCTGACAATAAGGGGGAACCATCCCGACACGGTACAACCCGGGGTGTCACAAGTCACGAGCATCTATCAAAGTATGAGTACAACTACAAAGTCTGAATTATACAGTATGGGACTAATGAACGAAAAAGGAGAAAAACGGTGCTGCGAACGCTGGCAGTCTCCTCGCTAAACTCCGTTAACTCTGCCTCCGGTCAGCCAAAACCCGCTACCGGGTGTATAAATACCTGCATCTGCACACAAGGTGCAGAGAGTAAAGTGAGTACTCCAACTCTGTGTGTAATAAAGGTAAATAACAACTGAGCAGTAAGAAATCACGTGAGGCAAATCATCATGTTGTATAGAAGCAGTATAAAACCCCTTGAGAAAATGGCAATGAAGCTGTGAAATCTTTAGAAAACATCTTAGCTAAGTTTAAACCTCTTTTGAAAGTGACTTTTTCAACAATTATGCAAATGAATGCAAAATACTTAGTGCAAATAAGCACAGAAATTCGCCCCTCGAGCACAACACTCACTCAACAGATAATGCCAGGAAATCAGGTAGGTACCCCGTGAAGTAACACAGACAACAGATAATGGCAGACAATTGAAACAAAGCAAACACATAGATCAGTATCATATAGTAACCGTTGCGGCGTGCAGCCCGATCCATATATCCTCACAACACAGGACCTCGGCCTCACTCAGTCAGATAAAATCATCACAAGCCCCTCGGGCATAATAAAATAGTAGTTCTCAGCCCGAAATATCATTTAAGTCTCAAAACTGAGTAAAAGTGGCTGAGTTGTAAAACAAGGGAAAACAGCATGACTGAGTTTAAGTAATAAGTCAAAACAGTGAGGAAACAGTGATAATAATCCCCGAAGGGTTCAAATAGTTGGCACGAAGCCCAAATATGGCAA